TAGGAAATTTCTCTGCTGGACTATATCCACACTACACACATATGCCTAATGATCTCCCTGAGGAATGTGAAAATAATCTCTGTGAAAACCCTGAGACTTCTTTTTATCAGTGTAGTATATATATAATATGTTCTTATATGTCACACTTTAAAGACACAAGGCTTGCTTAGTGTTAGCTGCCAGAAAAAAAATACTAGCTTTCAAGAATGCCTATTAAGGGGAACCTGTTTTGCTGAGCTACAGTATATAGGAACATACTGTAAGAAAGGGTACAACAGAGAAGAGGCCATTGACTTCATCTGTCTCACTTGCAGTTAGTAGGTTACTGATCCAAGGATCTCATACAGTCATTTCTTGAGGGAAGCCAAGGTATTGCCTTTAAACACCTGTCTAAGCAGTTTGTTCCATACTCCCTCAACCCTTTGGGTACAGAACTGCACTTTCACATATATTTGTAACTTGTGTCATCTAGTTAGTGTTTCACCAGTCATTAAGAAGACGTCCACTGAGGTGATTTTGTCAATGTCAGGTCAGCTCTTTCAGCCTGTCGGTGTAGCACAAGTCCCACAATGTATCTCATTGTTCTTCCCTGGACTGGTTTTAGAGTTTTAAAGAATGTTTAATAAAGCTTAACTTTCAGACACGAAAATGTCAGCTAGTGACATGTGCTCCTAAGTTAGATTTGTCTAACCAAAAACATGCATAGCCAAATTACTGTATAAAACCCAATCACATTGTTTTTGTTCTATACTGTATGTACAGTACATATTGTATTAGGCGTAGAATCTAGCAAGGACAAAGCAAGAAGGAAAGCCCTGTTTTCAGAGGAGATTGTTCTTAGAAAGATCAAGCTGGTTTTACTTAAGAGTTTAGTCTGAAACAGACAGAGGGCAGCCAGTCCATTTGAAAGAGGTTAGAATGTGGTCCAGCTAAGTTTCAGTGCTGTCAGAAGTTATAGCAATGAAAAAACACCCATTCAGGAGTGAAGAAATGGGTTTAGGATTGCAGGACATAACGTTGAAGGTTTCAGATCTAACTGAGCCATAGCCTTAGCTGGCAGCCTTAGGCCACAAGGCAGAATACAAGGCAGCCACAAGGCTTGACGGGATGCCAAGCCTTCACAGGACACATGCACATTCATACAAGGGGGAATTTAGAGACCTAGCCAGTGTGTCTTTGGATGGTGGCTGGAAAAAGGTGCTTCTGGCAAAAATGCATGATTATGAGGAGAAAATGTAAATTCCACGCAGGCACTCTTGCTTGAAATTGAACCCTGGACCCAGTCATTACGAGTCAGCAACATTCTACATACTGTAGGCATTTGGCATGTGTATATATAAAACCATAGTTCATTCGACCTTCCCACCAGCAAATGCATACATTATACTGTAGATAAGACACGCAACAATAAGCATTGAAAAGCTGAAAACGACCTTTGGGTTAATGTTGGCATTATTTCTAAATGACGTGGGGAAGCAATCAAAACGAAAAATAATAATAATTGCTTACGCTTATATAGCGCTTTTCTGGACACTCCTCTCAAAGTGCTTTACAGGTAATGGGGACTCCCCTCCACCACCACAAATGTGCAGCCCCACCTGGATGATACAACGGCAGCCATAGTGCACCAGAACGCTCACCACATATCAGATTCTAAAATATTAGAATGCAGACAGAATTAAGTGAAAATAGCTAAATCAAGGGATGTTTTGTTAAAACTGGACTATGCACTAGTAAACACGCATACTTAGAATGGACTTAGAATGCTGTGTACAAATTTGATTATTATGCTCCAAAAATAATATTGCTGCTCACAAATCAATCCAGAAAACAGAAACCAGATACTTTCCTGGACTTTAAGGAATGTCCTACCTAATGGGTTAAAATAACTTAATATTTTTGGTCATGAAAAGAAAATGTTTTAGTTTACAAAGGGGTATGAGGGGTTGAAGTTGTCAAAATACTCAAAAGCACAGAGAGAATCCGCCCAATGCACTCCTTCCCCATCAACAGTGAAGCAGACCAGAGGGTACAAATGGAGACAACAGGGAAATGCAGTTTGAACTGAGAATCGAGAGGGATTTTTTTCATAATCCGTTGTGGGTATCTAGAACAAGATACTCCAGCCATGGGTCATGGTTGACAATTTTTTTTTAGAAAGTGGTTGGAAGAGATCATTGTATCACTTGCTGTAGCTAATAGTTCCCAAACAAAATGTCTTTTATTCCCCATTCATAACTTTTCTTATTCTCTTCTGTCTTGCATTCAATTATGTTTGAAAGCCTGACTTGTGTTAGTACGGACACTTGGGCAGTCAATATTGTAGAAGCACTGCTAAATCTCTGACGTAACCTGCAATGACTATTTACTGAACAAACATCTGTAGTGAAGGCATCATAAACCCATAAAATAAAGCTTGTTTACTATTCTTGTGCTACAGTTGTGCAGCTGGTAAAAGAGGAAATATTCCAGGAAATATTTTAAGTATTTGTAACGGGTCACCTTGTAGTCTTCTTTGTTCAAGAAAAAAGGACATTCCGTTAAGCCCAGGAATTTATCTGGTTTCTCTCCTTCGGACTGATTCCAGAGCAGCGATATACAGCATCTTTCTCGTAAATTGGAGAGCAAAATTGAAAACCACTCTGAATGTGGTTTTACTAGTATGTTCTAGCACTTTTATAGTAATACTATATATATATTATGTCCTACCATTTGTGGCCTTTTTATTGTTTCTACACAATTTGTATACTGTAAGATGTAAATGAAAGTATTTTTCATGACTAGCCTCCTCTAGCCAAATGCTACCCATTTAGAAACTCTGATTTGAAATATATTTATAATCACCTTGTTGTTCTCATGGCTTTACCATAACCTGCAGATAATTTAATATATGCTGTATCTAGACATTTTCAGATTATTCTGCAAAACTAGACTTTGCAAATTAAATGCATATTACAGATATACGGTACTTGTGGTAAAACATGCACACGTGAGTGCATTCATTCAGAATATTTTTGTCTGTCATGTGAAATGCTAATATATGTCCCTGGAGTTTGTTTAGAATTCTGCTTCACAGATTTTTTTCAAAAATGATTTTTTGTACACCTGCGTCTAACCAGGATTCTGATTTTTTAGAAGGTGCCATTAATTACAGATTTTCCTTTCTTCCTTGAACAACAACATTTCAGAACTCTTTTGAAGTGCACATATGTGCAGTCCCTGGTATTTCAATTTGCCAGGGACTAAGGTGCCTGTCTGCAGTCTATAGTAAACACTAGCCATTTTATCTTTTTTTTTTTAATTAAATGTTTCAACTGAAGCCATCATCTGCTCTGAAACCCTCTTTTCAAGATGGTGGGATTAAACAAAGTGCAAAACATAATCAATAGTGAGGTTTATTGATAAGATGACATTCACTGCAGATGGATTTGCGTTTTAAATGCTACCAGTTCCCTTGTGTATATTAGCAAGCATAAAATACTACTAGGAATTGCTCTTAATTGGCTGTCAGGCAGCTTTGGCCTTTCATACATTTCAAACAAAGCAGTGGGATAGAAAGCAGACTTACTATGTTCTTATTTCTAACAACCACATCCAGTTAGCACTTTATGGTTAATGTAACAGTCCAGGTTTGTAAAGAATCCTTTGAAAAAGAAAAGACATTGAAATATTGGCATGTGTGGGATTTATGCAATAGTTGATACCCCCTTATTAACACAGAGAGGTACAATACTCTGTAATACCATTAAGAGGGTTTTTTCTAAACCCTTCAGTAATGGTGTTAATGTGAATGATCATGAATATTTTCACTTACAGTAAGTCCAAGATTTAAAGGCTGTAACTTAGTTATTTAGGCAGTTTCCTTTGGAATTACGAAATGAAGGTATCAACGGATACCAGAGCACAGCTAAGAGTGACCCCTGCCTGACACGGAAAAGAAATACAGATCCCGTTCAGTATTTCCCCTTCACCAGAAGTCTGGTATACATGCAAAATATAGTGGCCTTGATTTGAGTCCCAACATTAAATGATCAGATGTTTGTTTCAAGATGAAAGCAACGAATACTTTCCGTTTTCCATTTCTGGCTATTTTAAGATTCACATTTACATACAAACTGTTACAAATACACATCATTTGTATGAATTTATTTTCTTTTACTAACAATACTTTAGATATTTTGCTCCTTTTTATCTTTCTAACCTATAATAATGCCAGTGAAAAACTTGTTATACTGCAAATGGTATTATTTGTCTTAATTTGTTGTAAGGCAAATTACAAACTGCAGATGCTAATACATTCCTGTCAAAAACAATTTGCTTTGAAACATTTAAATTCGCCTTCTAATACCAGTTAATTAAAACACAACTGTAATGAAATGAAATGCTTGTCTGTGTGAGACATTTAATACACAAGTTTCTAGAAGACCTAAATGGAAAGCACAGTCCCAGAATTTAAAAAATATATACTGTATTACAAAAGAATCACCAGCACAAAACTCCATGATTTCATTTGAGCCAGTGATTCCTTCACCTGATACAATTGGTTTGTAAAGTGTACTTATATAAAGTTATATAGAACAATATATGACATCTTTATAAATACACAATTACTTTTTGGATTAATTAAATCAGACATTTGCTCTCTTCAGATTATTTTGATTTGTTTTTGTACATCTTTCTTTGCTGTTTTTGTGATTCCGTACCACATGCAATGCATACATTTAATAATAAAATGGTCTAAACAATTTGTATTACCTTCCTCTAGAATACAATGACTGGGTGCTTAAAGGGATTTATATTTCTAAAACACTGGTTTGCAAGAATTATGACCGAAAATTATATTTAATGCCTCAGCACTGTCACTTTCATTTAGAAAGAAATATTGAATTCTTCTCAAAGTCTTGCCTCAAATATATAGATTTTAGCAACAGGTTTAAAAAAAACATTTTAAAAAAGAGGTAAGTAATTTGACAACCATGAGTTTACAACAGATCTTTTACCTTTTTCTCCCCCGTTGAATTACTGAGTAGAAAACCCTTGATAAAAAAAAAAAACAAGAAGTAAACCAAATTACTGATTTACTTGGGACTTAAATCTAATCCCATAATTCTACATTTAAAAGTTTCCAAAGCTTCGGTCTACAATCTCTCAAGTATTTGTTAAAACTCCTCCCCTGAATCTGCATAGCCGACAGGCATGCAAATAAATCAGCCCAGTGGAAAGACAAGGCATATCAAGTGATCCACTGGCTATGCAAGTCCTTTCATGATCCAATGAGGAACATCACAATAGACTGCCACTAAATATGGTACCTGCATGTCTTTGAGTGGAATGCTGAGTGTTTGTATAACAGCCCTGCAAACATGGAGGGAAAACATGTCACCTTCACACAGACAGGAGCACTGCCCAAGACGTTTGTGTTATGCGGCTGAAACTTTGTGAATTTCTGCAGGTAATGAAAAACAACTTCCAAAAAGACTACAAGCTTGTATATCTCGTGAGCACAACCTAGCAACAATAAACTCAGAGGATCCCTAAGAAAAATTTAATAAGTTGTACTCACTTTAAAAATGATCAATAAATTATTGAAGAGATATCCTACTTTCAGTTCAGCAGTATTCAAAGTAGTTTCAAGAGATCATATCAAATATAACTTTAAAGAAAGATGTAACATTTTAATGATTCAGACTGGTACAGAACCTAGCGTTTTAGGGAATATTGGCAAGGGAGCAATATACTAAAATAAGCTAAAGCAGACTGCAGGAGAAGCAAAAACATATGGCGGATAACTCTGGAACATTACATTTCACATAGTTAAATACAATATCTAATCATAAAAGACAGAATGCTAAATGCTCCATTCTAACATTTTAATGCACAGTAAGAGGTATAAATTGTGTTTAATGAATTTAGTTATGCAGTCATCTGATTCGAACAGATTGATTATAGAGAACTGTCCAATATTTTCTCTTTCAAAACTGGGGTATATTACCATGAAACCTTCTAATCCAGGAAATTACAGCACATTTATGTTAAGGTTTTATATAACATACAGAATACTGTATGTGTTAAAATAGTTCATTTATTCAGTGCATGATGATCCCAGTGGATGAGTTGTTATGCTGCAGTTTAAATTGATAAAATTAATAGCAAATTATGAAACACCTGTGCTACTTATTAAACCCATTAGATCATCTCCATGTTTTTTTATTTGTTCTTTTTGTGGTGCATTTAGGAGTTGGCCTCTGATATCTCTTCACAACACAACCTTTCCATAATATTTCACATTTTCCTACCTTATTATTTTTTGATTCACTTTTATCCAAAGCAACTTACATTTGCAGCCATTTATACAGCCAAGCATTTTACTGGAGCAATTTAGATGAATCACCCTGTTCAGAAGGTACAACCTTAGCTTCACATCTGGGATTTGAACCCATAACCTTCCAGCTACAATCCCAGAAGCTTAACCACTGCTCCACACTGCTGACCTGCACATTCCTGGAAGAAAATGGGGATAAATTGGTTCTTTGTATAGCAACACAAATGTAGGTAAGGTGTACATTGTGTTTATTTTGATTTCACTGCTACTGTATTAACAGCATTGCTTGCAAGGCCATAGTGAGCCGAAACAAGACACTGGAGACTGAAGCCCTCTGTTTGGCCACAGGGCATGTAAATAACAGATGGTCCTGCAAACACACACCACTCCACCAACATGTGCTGATCCGGTCCTGCAGGGACCACCTCCTAACCAGCTGAAGCAGCTCAGATAAGTGTGAATTCAGTGAGGAGATGATTCTTGTTTTGTAGTTTTTTTCTTCAGTACCAATTTTGCTGAGATGTGTGACACTGATGGTTCAACAGTGCAGTGGAGCAGCCGCTGGGGATAACCTGGAACCAAGCCTGATCAGAAAGCCATCATGGCTCAGATCATCCCAAAACACAGAGCTGATGAAATAACCCAACATAAAGCACTCTCTACCTTTTCAGTTAGATCACCCTTACAAAGCAAAGTAGCCAATTAATTATAACAAATCTTCAATTGCACTGAAAGAAGGTGAGCTATATCAGATTTCTGCTATTCCAAGAACAAAAATTAGCAGGAAACAGAATGATCTTTATGTCATTTGTGTTCCAACATTATAATTCACCTAAAAGGAAGAAAACCAGACAATGTCACCTATTTAACAATGTAACCTAAAGGTGGTGCCGTAAAAATAATTTACAACAAAGAAATCAAGTTGTATTTTTAGAGCAAAATTTGTTTATATGGTTCATTTCCAAGACTAGTCGATATTTTCCAGCATGCTGTAAATGTTGGTTTCCTCATTAAACAGTAGGTACTTGTCAAAAGATTTCATTGAAAGGCATAGCATTTACTGTGAGTTCCTCTCTGATGTTTCCAAGATGTACAGTATTAAAAAGTAAAAAAGAAGCTACTACAAAATCCCAAGTATTAAATACTGTATGACGTCTGTCTCTCCCCAACGCACGAAGTGAAAAAAAACACCGCTATGGAGTCTTGCTCTGTGTTTAATCATTCGCTGCCCCATGTTGTCTAAACATCAACCCAATGAGTGGATTGTTTATTCTTTTCTCTGTGGAGAGAAAAGCCAAACTCCTATGTTACCATTTCCCTGATACAGAAACTAGGCATATGCCATCCTTCAGGGCACAGTGGGTAGTCAGTGGGAAACTACACAGCAATAACATACTTACAAAAGGAAATGCCAGCACTTAAGGGAGTCATTCAAAGTTTTTCAAATAGCAGATTGAAGAAATACAGATTTATCCATACAGTACATTCATGTAAAGCAATCTTTGCTGTGCAAGGACTGTTTTCACTTTTATTTTTTAATTGTGTGCTAAGATACATTACATTTTTATCCATTTACTGTATACAAAGAAAATCAAAATAGCTAATTGTTTGAGAATTATGGTCTTCATGCATGGCAGTTTCTTATGACTAGGATCTGCTGTTTAATCCACACAGGTCTGAGTTTTAAAAGATTGTGACCGTTTGCTTTGCTTAGTTAATTATGTCCCACTCCCTTTGCAGAAAAGCAACTTGCATTGTTGACTTGCTCAATTCTGAAGGCTCCCTGTATGCTTATCAGTTCTCTAAAAATTAAATGAATGTTAAAATCAAATTATAACTAGAAAGGGCTCTTCAGACGATCTGCATTTATTTACCACATTATTTCACCGTTGCTGAATTTTACATTCAAACACTTGTCAATTTCCATGTTTATTGCCGTCAGTGCTTATACACCTTGATACAATTTACAAAGCTACAGTATGTAGCTACCGCATACAGTACAGTATGTGAATGCTGACCAAATGGGCAAAAATGTAATCACACTGCTGTGGAATTAAGAAGTTTAAAAAAAGCTACAATCTGAAAATTAAGGGAGAAAGCAAAAAAAATCATTATATTCTACATAATGTAAGACCTAACACATCAGCATACAATATGTGGTTGCATTAACCCAAGTCTGCTTTTATAAATGACTTTAATAAAAAATAATTATTGATTATATACAGTCTATAGTTATGTACTATGTTCTGCTCACAAAAATAACCTGTGCATGACATACAAGATGGATTTCTACATATACAGTTCATTTTTGTGATTCACATATTCTAGGAGACCTACAAAAGCTGATGACAAAAGAAAACAGGATCTGGAATTGTATAATACAGTAATTGTTGCAGACTCTTCCTTCCTCCTTTTAGTTTTCTAAAATGATAGCAAACTTTCAGAATTATCTTTTCAATATGAAGAGCAGCATGAGGGTGAGTAAGCAGTCATTTACATTAAATTGGTGAATATCTTGAGATATTGACCTTTTCGCTAAAAGGGAAGAAAAATTGATATTCTGGACTTTTAAAAGGATTTGGCCACCTCTGTTCTTACTTTTAGCCTGCAGCCACTAACATCTGAAATAGAAAAGGGCTCATTTGCTGAAAACATGTCTGGAATTCTACATTAGTGTTAAAGTCATGTACTGCTGATTCCAGTCCATCTTTCAAACTATAGATCCTCTAAAAGTGATGCCAGAGTTACCTCTGTTTTGCGATATTTACCGACTTCATCCATCCATTTTCCAACTGATTTATCCATTACACGATAATGGGAGGCCAGGAGCCTATCCTGACAGGCAACAAGAGCAAGGGAGAACACACCTTGGATGGGACACCAGTCCACTGCAGGGCACACACAGACACAAACACACACTCATGCCAGGGCAAATTTTCCCCAAAACCCATTAACCTGCTAATATGGTTTTGAGCAGTGGGAGGAAACCAGAGCACCATGAGGAAACTCACGCAAACATGGGGAGCACATACATACATGTCCCCAGGTCAGAGTCCAGGGCCACGCATAGCTCTGCAAGGGTAGCAAAGCCAACTACTGTGCCACCCAATTGACATCATCTGATTGTTACATAATTTGAAAACAGTCTCACTAAGAAGATTGCAGAAAAGAAACTCAAAAAATTAAATCCAACCAAATTATAATAAAGAAAATGTATAAATATTTATGGGGGAAAAATTCAGTTAAATTAAAGTCTCAATGAGCTTTAAATACTACCAGTAGTATGAGGGGATTTGATCGTTCTTCAGTAGTTACTTTTGTTAAATCTAGGGTATTGTTTGACAGTTTCATGGGATTAAACAAAAGAAAAATGTTTATTTGACTAAATATTTGTACATGACATAACTGTATATATCTGACTACAATGACTCAAAGCTAAGGCACAAGCTAAAATAAACAGAATAAAAAGCAAGTTAATTCAAAATCAAACATGCTCCTTCCTCTTATTGATTCATCAGTTGCACATGAAAAGTTCTTCACATCTTCACTACCACCTCTGACATCCATCAGGGTGGTCTCCACAATGAATTAAACCTTGTTTCATTGCCAAAGAGGACCTGAATCGACATGAGGTGATGTAACACTTAGCAACAAGCCGGGTGTATTGGTTTGATCACCTATGCCCAATCAACCCACTCACTGACAAGGTTAATTAGTACTTATGCAACAGTGAAGTCCGTCATTAATGATCAATTAATCAAAAGATGAAATATACTGTATGTATTCCACATTTAAAATCCATATTACTTTATTCTTCTAAAAACTCACATGTAAAG